GATAAAGATATTAAACAGAACGGGGCCCAACACCGAGCCCTGGGGAACACCACTTGTGACCCGCCACCAACTGGATTTCACCCCATTCACCACAACCCTCTGGGCTCATCCATCCAGCCAGTTTTTCACCCAGCGAAGAGTACACTTGTCCAAGCCATGAGCCACCAGTTTCTCAAGGAGTATGCCATGAGAGACAGTGTCAAAGGCCTTGCTGAAGTCAAGGTAGACAACATTCACAGCCTTTCCCTCATCCACTAGGCAGGTCACCTGGTGATAGAAGGAGATCAGGTTGGTCAACCAGGACCTGCCTTTCATAAACCCATGCTGACTGGGCCTGATCCCCTGCTTGTCTTGGACTTGCCACATGAGTGCTCTCAAGACATACTGTTCCATAATCTTCCCTGGTACCGAGGTCAGGCTGACAGGCCCGTAGTTCCCCAGATCCTCCCTCCGACCCTTCTCGTAAATGGGCGTCACATTGGCAAGCCTCCAGTCCTCTGGGACCTTCCCCGTTGACCAGGATCGCCGATAGATGAGGGAGAGCAGCTTGGGAAGCACCTCTGCCAGTTCCCTCAGTACTCTGGGATGGATTCCATCTTGTCCCATAGATTTGTGAGCATCCAGATGGCGTAGTAGGTCACTAACTATTTCCACCTGCATTAAGGGGGGGGGTGGTATATTCTGCTCTTCATCCTCCCCTTCCCGCTCAGGAGGCAGAGTACCCTGAGGATAACTGGTCTCCCTATTAAAGACTGAGGCAAAGAAGGCATTAAGTACCTCAGCCTTTTCCTCATCTCTGGTGGCAACGTTCCCTTCCATATCCATTACAGGATAGATATTCTGCTTGGGATTCTTTTTACCATTAACGTATTTGTAAGAACATTTTTTGTCGTCTCTTACGACAGCGGACAGATTTAGTACTAGCAGAGCTTTTGTCTTTCTAATTTCCTTTCTCTATGACCTAACAAGATCCCTGTACTCCTCCCAAGTTGCCCGCCCTTTCTTCCAGAGATGATAAAGTCTCCTTTTTTTCCTGACTCCTAGCAAAAGCTCCCCGTTCAGCCAGGCCGGTCGTTTTCCTCAGGGATTTGACTTGCGGCACGGGGGAATAGCCTGGTCCTGAGCTGTTAAGATTTCCTTCTTAAAGAACGTCCGTCCCTCCTGGACCCCTTTGCCCTTCAGGACCGTCTCCCAAGGGATTCTCTCAACCAGTGGCTCAAAGAGGCCAAAGTTTGCCCTCCGGAAGTCCAGAGCGGTGGTTTTGCTAACCCCCTTCCTTGCCTCACCAAGAATTGAGAATTCTAGCATTTCACGGTCGCTAAGCCCAAGACGTAGCACTCCGGTCACGGGAGTCATCCCACCGTGTTTCCGTGATGGCGACTAAGTCCTATCTATCCTGCTGCACGATGGCTTCCAGCTCCTCCTGTTTATCGCCCACGCTGTGTGTGTTGGCATCGATGCATTCGAGCTGGCCTGTCGAATCCACCCCTAACGTCGGCACGCTGCCCCCAGGCTCATCTCTGGTGCACCTAGTCTTATCCCTTACCCCCTTCAAACCTAGTTTAAAGCCCTCTCTATGAGCCCCGCCATCTCACGAGCCAGGATTCTTTTACCCCTTTGAGATAGCTGGATACCATCCGTCGCTAGCAAGCCCGGTGCCGTGTAAACCTCCCCATGATCAAAAAACCCCAAATGCCACCAATGGCACCAGCCTCTGAGCCACATCATCACCAGGTGCGGTTTCCTGTTCCTTTCAGTATATTCCCCTGCCACCAAGGGATTGAGGAAAACACTACCTGTGCTCCTTCCGCTAATCGCCCCAGTGCCCTGAAGTCCCTTTTGATTGACTTTGGATTTCTCCCTGCAGTCTCATCGCTGCCAACCTACACAACTAGCAATGGGTAATAATCAGAGGTCCGAACCAGACCCAGGAGTTCCCTGGTAATGTCTTTTACCGGGGCCCCGGGGATGCAGCAGACTTCCCTGTGGGATGGGTCAGGACTGCATATTGGGCCCTCTGTCCCCCTCAGAAGGGAGTCGCCTATGACAATTACCCTCCTTTTTCTTTTTTCAGAGGCTGTGAGAATGCGTGGGGCTGCCCGACTGAGCCTAGGCACCTCCCTGGATAGGGCTTCACCTACACCCTGATCTTCGTTGACCCGGTCCTCAAGTTCCAGAGCCCCATTCCTGTTGTGTAGGGGCAACTGGGAAGGTGGGGGAGACCGGGAGGGGACTCGCCTGCCTCCCCGAGCAGGACCTGTATCCATTCCCCTCCATCTCTTAGGTCCCCTCCTGCCCGGTGGCAAGGGGGTAGGGGAACCTCCGCTTCTCGCGGAGCCTCCATCTGCTGCCTCTGCCTCGGGGATGGTAGGGTGTGGGTCCACCAACCTATCTCCCTCTCACACTCCTTGATACTCCTCAACCTTTCCGCTTCCTCCTTCAGCTCTGCCACCAGGCTGAGCAGATCATCTACCTGGTCACATCTCACACAAGAGGTGTCCCCGCTGCCCTCCGGCATCAGTGATAGACTCAGGCACTCCCTGCAGCCAGAGACCTGGACAGCTGCACATTTACATGGGAGCGACGTCTGCATTGCCACATTTTTCCTAACAATGGCTTTCCCCTGAGTGGCAGCCATACCAGGGTCTCCCTCTGGGCCCATGCCCACCGCTGAGTAGCCTTCCC